CTTCGCTTTTTCTTCGAGTTCGGAAGGGGCCGAGAGAAAAGCTGCGTGAGTTTATAATCGCCGTGTCCGATACGCAGGGAGGGAGGGAATTTCTGATCGGTTGAGTTCTCCCGTGTGGCTCAACACACCACACACACACCTCAAAGACAGCGCTACCCGAGTGTCCGTGGGCTCAGTCTGGCCACCACTGCCTGCCCTTTCAATCGCTTCATTCGGACACCCCTGCTCTCAACGAGGGAGGCCGATTGAAGTGGTACTGATTGAAGTCGCTCGGACACTGTCAACGCCTATGCCTGCGGAGATGTGAGATTGGTGACTGGATCACTGGTCTCGCCCGACGCGTTTACCACTCTACCACCAGTAGCTCACCTCCTGAACCAGTGGTGGAAATTCCACATTTCGACGACCCGATTTTTAATCAATACGGGCAATGCGCACGTCCTTTAAAAGGTGACCGTCCGTTCGCCCGTCCCAGCCACAAACTTTTTTTTGAAATAATATTTCAATTTGTAAAAAATATAGCAACCACGTGCCAGCTTGCCTTAGTGGGTGGTAATCGTTTTATCGACCCCTGGGAGCTGATTATGCTGACGACGAGACACCCGAGTTCTCAAGCGAAGCGGCTGCTCGAGCCTCACGGAGACTCGCCCCCTCTCCTCGTGCGAGCCCTGCGAGGGTGACAAAAACGACCCATGGGAATTCTGTTGGGAGAACCAAAATGACTGGCTGTGTTGTGCTGGCCTCATTCATATCTAGCCGTTGCGCTACACCCACATGAGCCACACGAAGAAAACGAGTTGTCCATCTCGTCTCGTTAGGTTCCTCACGTCCAAGGTCATGTAAGCGTCGACTTAGGCGCATCATTGGGCGTACAGACCGCCAACGTTCCAATTGGGTGTCCGCACGGTCCCGTGGTGCGCGTATCGCGGACACGTGATCGCCTGTGTCGGCGTGGGGACGTCAGCGTCGTCGCTGCTGCTGCTGCTGCTGCTGCACGACCACTCCCGGCTCTTTGTCGACGCCGTCCACTCTAGGGCCACGATGACGACACGTGGTCGATGTTGACGACATGTGATCGATGTTGCCACCGAGAGGGCAGGTGGAGGTTCAACCCCGGGGTCAGGCGACTCGCGATGCCTCCCTAGCGCTGTTAGACAACAACAGCAGCAACAGCGGAGCGCGCGGCCCTCACATCCCAACAGCGCTGATCACTCGCAGTCCTCTGCCGGATGAACACCTCGTCTCTCCCACGCCGTGCCGATCGCAGAGTTGCTTGACCATACTCTTAGTTCTTTCGGTAAAGTCACGTGGGTAAAAAATGAAATTAAAATTAATTTTAATTTCATTTTTTACCTACGTGACTTGAAATTAAAATTAATTTTAATTTCATTTTTTACCTACGTGACTTAAATAAAAATTAATTTTAATTTCATTTTTTACCTACGTGACTTTACCGAAAGAACTAAGAGTATGAATCCTTGCAGTCACGAAAACTTCAAATCTAGAGTTGCTCGACCATACTGCACCACGCACGGCCACTGGCTGTTTAGGTGAAAGGGGGGTGACGTGAACCCCCCCGGGGGAACCGAACCGTTTAAAAAAAAATCCGTCGCCACGGATGACAGCCGTGGTCGGGAATTGAACTCGGGTGAGCGAGGTTCATAGTGCGGAGTGCGGACACACTCGAGGCTTCTCCGCTTGCAACAGCTCCATTGTGGGGGATTCGTTTTCCAACCAACATTTTTCAGCTGCGCGGCTCAAACCGACGGAAAATTGCAACGCTTTTACAGCGGCCGGTGTCTCTGTGGACCTGCCCGTGCGGTGCCTGCACACGCCGTGTCGGCGACCGGCCACTGCGAGCACCCCAAGAGGCTTTACACGTCCCTGGGCTCGTCAAATACAGGGGCGGCAAAACCCTTCGCGGGTTTCATAGTGGCCGCGTCACAGGCCACGGAGTCGGCACGGCTGTGACACCTGGTTTGGAATTCCGGTCTCGGTCATTGTCCTGGTGCTCAAGTGCAGGGTGGTGATCGTCTCGGCCCAGTCACCAGTGACTCACAGAGACCCAGTGACTCACACAGATACCCAGTGACTCACACAGAGACCCAGTGACTCACACAGAGACCCAGTGACTCACAGAGACCCAGTGACTCACACAGAGACCCAGTGACTCACACAGAGACCCAGTGACTCACACAGAGACCCAGTGACTCACAGAGACCCAGTGACTCACACAGAGACCCAGTGACTCACACAGAGACCCAGTGACTCACACAGAGACCCAGTGACTCACACAGAGACCCAGTGAATCACACAGAAACACAGTGACTCACAGAGACCCAGTAACTTACACAGAGACCCAGTGACTCACATAGAGACCCGCAGAAGCGCACAGACGAGTTGACTAATCCGGGTTCTCAAGTGTAGGGATTTCATGGTCTCAGCCCAGTCGTGAGCGCATAATACAAATCGGATTAAATTCCTAGTGGGTGAGTTCACATTTAATTCCACTTATTGCAGCTCCGATGGTTTACAATCCCCAGCTTCACCGCCACGCGACACCGTTCAGCAGACTTCACCTGGGTGTGGTGGCGATAGTGGCTGAGTGTGGTGGTGGTGGTGGTGGTTGGGTGTGGTGGTGGTTGGGTGTGGTGGTGGTGGTGGTTGGGTGTGGTGGTGGTTGGGGGTGGTGGTGGTGTTTGGGTGTGGTGGTGGTGGTGGTTGGAGGTGGTGGTGGTTGGGTGTGGTGGTGGTGGTGGTTGGGGGTGGTGGTGGTTGGGTGTGACGATGGCTGGGGGTGGTGGTGGTTGGGTGTGGTGGTTGGGTGGTGGTTGGGTGTGAGGATGGTTGGGTGTGACGATGGCTGGGGGTGGTGGTGGTTGGGGGTGGTGGAAGTGGTTGGGTTGTGATGGCTGTGGGTGGTGAGGGTTGGTGGTGGTGGCGGTGTTGTTGCCACACAAGTGCAGTCCACGCGTGACGTCCATCTGCGCGCGAGACCCCCACCCCACCCCCTCCCCACCTGCCGGGCGACCTGGAGCAGGCAGCAGAGCAAGTGGGATGTTGCCCGCGTGCGTGGAGAGGCGCGGTTTCTCCCCCGTGCGCGGTGCTTTTCTCCGGGCACCGCGATGCGGGGATGTCCCAGCACAGCGAGTGCGCTCCATAGGCACCACCCCCAGGCGTAGCGGGACCCCTCTCCCAGCAAACGGAAGTCATCCAGCCTCGACTCGACGAGGCATTCCAGAGACGGCGGGGAGGGGGGGCACGTCCCAATCTCCCATCTGTCTCCCTTCTTCGGCTCAAAACTTAAAACTCTCCACCGCGCTTCGTGTTTCGGTGGCCGTGGCTTAACAAGCAAATATTTTGAAAGAATAAAAAAAAGATTACACGTCAGTGAAATGTCCTTGATCGCCTTAATAGAGACGCGAGCAGTGGTAGTGGCAGTGGCTTCTTGTCGGCCGTGCGGTCCTCGTGTTGCGTGCCGCGTCGTGCATGGCGTCGTGCGGGGCGCGCTTGTGTCGTGTCTCCGTCGTAGTCGGGCTTCTGTTGTCGTTCACTTGCCAAATAAAAGACACTTACGAGTGACCTCAGCCCCCCCCCCCCCCCACGTCTCTCTCTCTGACTGTGTCCATAACGCACCCACGTGTTGCGTGCGTCCCCCGCGTTGTTGAGCCGCGGTGCGGGGAGCGGCGGTGCGGCGGTTAGCGCAGCAGCGCCGCGAATTCGGCGACGGCCCGCTCCACAGTCCCCCTCTCACGGCCACGTTTACACAGCACCGGGTACTTGTTTAAGGCTGAGTCGACCTAGAGGAGGCCCAGGACCGTGTAAGATATTCGCCACTTGTCGCCGAGTCTCCACGTTCACGGTCGATCTCGGGGCAGCTACGTGGACTGTGGCCGCTCCCACGGCAGAGGTCGCAAACGGGTTTTGATTCCTTACCCGTACCCGGCCGCACCAGGGTCGCAAACGGGTACCCGTACCCGTTTGCAAACGGGTACCCGATACCCGTACCCTACCCTACCCGGCGGGTACGGGTAGGGTACGGGTATCGGGTACCTGATTGCGACCTCTGGGATGAAGCCATGTTGCAGGCGCGGGTGGGTTGATTCTAGGAACTTGAATTGTGAGAAGAGACAAGACGTTGGGAAATGAGTGACAAACGGTGACTCACCAGTGACTCACGGCCTACCAGTACCCGTACCCGGCCGCACCAGGGTCGCAAACGGGTACCCGTACCCGTACCCGGCCGGGTACGGGTATCAGGTAGGGTACGGGTATCGGGTACCCGGTTGCGACCTCTGTCCCACGGCCTCCTCCTCGTCCACCCACGAGGGGTCCTCCCGCTACGAGCGGCCGGTGGGCCGGGCGAGTCGAGGGACGTCGGGGAGCCGTGCCCCCCCCCCCCCCCCCTTAGTGTCGTTCGGGTGGCGGGTCCCCTCGAGATCCCCGAGCGATGAGTCCCGGACTCCGCAACTCAAGGCGGCCCTCCCCTCCCTCACAGGGGCCGTGACGATAGACGAACCGTAGCAGCTCCTGTAAACAACGGCGCGGTGGCTCGCTCGAGGGTTGTACCGGGAAGGACCCCCATGAAGAGACCGGCGCTGGATGCTGCTCCACGCGCCGTCTTGGCGCAGGCTCCATAACTGGGACTCCGTCTGGGTTTGAAAATTTGGATTTGAAACCTGGATTTTAAAACCCAGACCGGTTGCCGCCACGAGGTGTATCAAGGGCGGCGAGTTGATTGCCACGGAGAGAGCCGTCGACCAAGACACCAAAGCTCGTTGTTGGTACGGACCAATCCCCAATCCGCCCGTGCAGGTAGCACAGATGCCACGGACAGCACTGCACCCCCCCACGTGCTCTGCCCCACGTGCTCTGCACCACGTGCTCTCCCACACGTGCTCTCCCCCACGTGCTCTGCCCCACGTGCTCTGCACCAGCAGCCACACCTCACAAACACGAGCCCGCCACAACTCACAATTCCACAGTTGGTGTTGGTCCCAGTTCTTTTTTGTTTAAATTCTTCACAAACAGACAATTTGACCCTAGCCCGGCCTCAAGTCCAACAACGTTTATATCTCAACGCGGGGCAAAGCGCCCCAACCTCTCGCGCGCAGAATGTCAGTCGCTCACAAACACACGCACACGCACGGACCCCTCCTGAGGGGCGAGGCGTTCCGAGCCGCAAAGCGCCGCCGACGCTTCTCCCACGCAGCCCCCGCGGTCATTCGCGACGGGACAACGTCCCCTCGGCCTCGCGACCTCCGCGCCGGCTCACGGCGGCCAATTTTTAGCGAACGCCGGCACGGAAGAAGGGACGACCGCAACGAAGAGACGGCGCGCGGCGCGGCGGCTTCAGAGTCAAAGCGTGAACCCGGCCAGACGGCGAAGGAGTCGACACTCCGGGCCTCACCCCCCCACCCCGCCCACGTCCAGTCGCGCCGATGCAAAGCGAGTCGCGGTCCAGGGGATCGACTAGGAGAGCATTAGCGCTCCGCTGGGCCTTCCGCGTCTCCGCGTGACGGAGACCGCCGCCGCCGCTGGCAGAGCGTGGCATCGAACGCGCCTCTGGGTGACAAACCCCGCGTGCCAACCCGCACGGAGAGTTCCACAGTTCTGAACAAATTTCATCCCCAGGGAAATTTCTGGTGGAAGTAATTTTTTTCTCTTTTTGGGTTTTGCGTTGTTTGTCCCGTGACCAGATTCATCTTCTAGTGTGCCCCTATTGATAAAAGTAAACACTGCTATTTCTTCGGCTTTATTTTTTTAAAGTAAAATCCCACGCGTCATTCGGTGTGACCGGTCTTCTCATTGCATGGCCGGATGAGGGCACTCTTAATGGTACCGCCGAAAACCAGGGCTCAGACCCAGGTTTCAGTCGCCCGCCATCCCACCGGGTTCACGTGCACAGCGAGCCGGCCCCTAAATGACCACACAGAGGCCTCGTGTACAACGCGGGGAGCCGACCATGTAGGTATCATCCGTTGACCAAGAACCAGAATTAGGCAGCCGTGTGAACTGCACGGTCGAATACACACTCCTGTGTGCGCGCGTGCGAGACGCGGTGGAAAGACTTGCGCACCACAGAAATAAGAGCCTGGTTTGATTACCGACTTGGGTCGCCTCTCAGTGTGAGTTTGTATGTTCTACCCCCTGTTGGCTCCAGGTTCACAAATCCTCCCATAGCTAAAAAAAACCCCATACAATGGAACTGGTATTGGCCAAACATCGCAATGCAGGACTCTCTTGGGTAAATCATTGTTATTGTTAACCGAGCTCAAACCGTCTATTCGTCTTCAACAATTAATGATACTCTTTGGTTTCGTTGGGTCAAGTCACGTAGCACTACAATAGCCACTTCCACAGCCTCAGGCAGACCATCTCTAGCCCCGCCCTCTCACGCTGAAGCTGCACCCATCTCAGGCCTACACAAGACCTCGTTTCAGGAGATCTCTCTCACCAGAAAACGGTCGCTCATGTTGCGATCGAAACGTTGTGATCTATTAATTTCTACCCATGTGACTTTACCGAAAGAACCAAAGAGTTGATTCCTGCAGTCACGAAAGCTTCAAATCAAAATTAATGATACCTTCACGGGCACCCCCCGCTTATCAATTTTAGTCTCATCTAGCCGATGACATCGCTACAAATGACACGGACGCACGGCGACACGCGCGCTCTGCAGGGCGCAGGCGAACGCGCCGTGCGGCGGCGTTGGCCCTGCACCAGACCGAGGGCGGTTCCGAGGCATCGTCTCTCAGGGTAGTTTCCCAGCGTCACGAGCCAGAGCCGTGGCAGCGCGTTGGCAGCTCGTTGCAGAGGCTCACGGTTCGAATCCAGCGGCCACCCCCTGGTTAGTACTGCGCGCCCGATAACCACGATATGCGCAGGCGGCTTCGCAGCGGACGTTGAAGATGCCTCGACGTCATTCGCAAGAGTAGGTGCCGTCGTGTGCCAGAACGTGCCGCCGTCAGGGTTCAAATGTGCAAACTTAGAAAATGACACCGCAGATGACTCAATGGGGAGTATCCACAGCAGCAATCACGGCCCCCTACTGGCAGTAGACTGATGCCGCAGGCCACTTTTGTAAAACTAAGACTCATCCCGATCGAGAGCCTCGGCTGCTTCAACCAAAAAAAACGAGCGAATTGTGATTTGCCCGTGGGATTTCTGCAAAAAGGATGATTCATTAGCCGCGAGCCAGCCACACGCCCAGCCTCGATCCGTGCGCCCAGCCTCGTGACCAATGGGGATGGGATGGACGGAGGAGGAAGGCAGCGAGACGATGCAGAGACACCAACGCTCGGGAGATTTCGCACGGCCGGCTCATCCAAGGTGACCGCAAAAGAGCCCAGCGTCACGCGTGCCCTCCGTCACATTCGTCAATTTGTGGCAACGTCACATGCTTTAATTTAGGTCGACGGTTAAAAAAAATATAAATAATCGGCTTATGTGCACGCACCGAGGATTTGCGCGCGAGCCAATTTTCCCGTGCCGGACAAGAGCCAAACGTTTTAGAAATTAGAAAAAATATCGATACAGATAAAACGTTTAAAAATGTCCGGGTGAATTTTTAATATTTTCAATTAAAATCCATAACCTGTTGAACGCGCGCCGGTTCGCTCCGCCACGCTCGCAGACAGAGCCCCTCACCTCCCCCGCAGCGCTCACACGACCTCACGGTGGCCAAACGCTGCTCTTCCCCAGGAGGCCAACTTACACGTCACCCGACTTGTGTTTGCAAATGACCTATTGAAGCAACCGACGCGGCTGCTTCTGCTGCTGCTGGCTTCCACTCGCAGGCAAGCAGATGGACACGGCTCTCAACATCAACACAGACAAGGACCCTAGCGCACAGAGATTTACGATAAAAGTTTTTCTGACCAGAAAAAAAGATAATCCTCCAGGGCGCTCCTGGCCCTGGACGTGTTTTGCGTTGTGTGTGGTTTCTTTTCATCACCCTAAAATGTTTTCACGGCGGCGTGTTCGGTTCAGCAGGCGAAGTTCTGGCTCCACGGTTTTCGAAGCAGTCCCGTGAACGAGAGCCCAAAATGTCCGCGCCAGCTTCGGAGACGTCCGCAATGAAAAAATAAACGACGCTGAAGGCCAAAATGTGCAAGTTCCCGCTCGTCGTTCGTCGCCATCGCGGTCGTCGTGCCGCCGTCGTGCTGCCGTCGTTCCCGTTGTTGCTGCTCGGCGATTTGGCGTCGCCGTCCTCACGTCGTCTCCGATGGACACGGGGAGAGCAGCACGGCGGATGTAAACGTGGCGTGCGAGCAGCCCGGGGGGGAGCAGAGGGGTAGGGTGGGGGGGGGCGAGGCGCGCGGCGTGCAGCGGGGGTCAAGGCTCGCGTCGCACGCCGGCAATAACCGCACCGGCGCCGCCGGGTTACGAGCGCGCCGCTGGCAGAAGGCCGTGGCCGCGTGCTGCGCTCTGCCAGCCCCGTGCGCTCGGCCCGTGGCCTCGGCAGAGTTGCGAACAAATGCAGCGGAATGAAAAACGGTGTCATGGTAAAAGAGCGGTGGTTTATTCCAGACTGAGCCCAGACACAGCTGTGCACAGCGAGGGCCTCTACGTCTACGGCTCGCAGATTGCCGCACGAGCCGTCGTCCGGCGCCGGGCAAGAGGGGCGATTGACGGGCCGTGGGCCCTGCTGGCTCCGAGGCGTTGTACAGAGAAGTGTTTTTTTTTGTCTCTCTTCCTCCGTTACTTGTACAGCACATTATACAAAAGTCATACAACTGACAAATTAAAAAACAATGTACATCGAACACCGCCCTCGTAACTCAACGGTCGTGTCGGGTAACGTTCCAGGCAGCGTGGACCGCCGCGGTGGAGCGGGGAGGGGTTGTTTATGAAACATTAGGAACCGATCCTCGTGGAGAGTGAAACCGCACGCCGGCACCTCCCCGCACGAGCGAACGAGGGTCGACCGGCGCTCATGCCCCGCTGGTGGCCAGAAAGCAGTGGTGGGAACTCCACCACTGCTCCGGTTTAACCGCAGCGGCGGTTTATTTTAATCACCCCGAGAGGTGATAAGACAATTCTGCCTCCCTACCCCACGAGATGTGAACTCCTTCCTATCTTAACTTTTTAAATTAACTTCCCGTAACGGTTTGCTACACGATATCCACACCGTCTGCCGGTTTGTTTGTTTACCACAATTCTCATTCGTTAGTCTCGTTTAAAATCCGCCCGAAGGATAAGGTGCTGCCGGTTCGAGAGGGCCTCGCCGCCGAGTCCGCACGACGTCGCCCCGCGGGGTCACGCGAGCGACGACCTCGCCCGGCGGCCTCGTTCCGGCCGGGCCGGCGGCAGCCGCGAGAACCGTGCAGCCGAGGTCGGGCGAGGAGTGGCGGTCCCGACGACGGCGCGGACAGCGACAACCTCGCGACAACCTCGCCCACGGCGGGGCGGGGCGCGCGTGCTCACGGCGACAGCGGTTGCGGTGCAGCCGACACGCGTCTACGCACGGCTCCCGTGGCGCCGTCTACGTTCAAGTCACATTTGGGGCCGCGCCCGAGGCAGGCACAGAAGCCGACGATGAAAAAAACAAAACACATCTTTGCCACGACCCTCGTCGCGGTTCGGTAAACTGCCCTCCCCAGCCCACCCCCCCCCCCCACCCCCCAATTCTCCCCCAGAGGCGCGCCGCACGCCACACGGACGGACGAGAGGAGAGGAGTCCTTCGCAGCGACAACTTCAACCGAGAGGGCCAGGCGGGCCGCGCCGTGGGCGGACTCCGTCCTCCGCCAAGTTCCTCCCCCCGCATCTTCAGGCCCGAGGAGCGGAGGGTAAATTGTCTCCCGGCGCCGGACTTGACGGAGCGCCGTCGGCGCGGGACCGTCACAGGGCGGGTGGCGGCGGCGGCGGCAGCGCCAGGCCGTCCCCGCTCGCCTGCCGGAACGCCGCGCGCTGCGCCATCGCCGCCCGGTCCACGCCGCTAGCTGCGCGCTGCTGCTGCTGCTGCTGAAGGTGGTGGTGGTGCTGCAGCAGCTGGAACGCCAGCGGGGGCTGCGTCTTGCCCGTGCTCGCCGCTCCCACGGGAGAGTTTGGAGAGACGGGCGCAACGCCTGCAGCCGCCCCCTGCTGCGGTTGCTGATAAACATGCTGCGCCTGCTGCTGTTGCTGCTGCTGCTGCGTCTGCTGCTGCTGTTGCTGATGATAATGGTGATGGTGAAGCTGAAGCTTTTGCTGACTCATCACTTGACTCTGCGGGCGAGCCTGTTGCAGCTGTTGTATTCGTGTTTGCTGCTGCAACTGCTGCAGCTGCTGTTGCTGCTGATGTTGAGACAGTGCCTGTTGATGCGACTGCTGCTGCTGCTGATGATGTTGTTGATGTTGGTAGTGCAGGCTGAGGCTGCCCGTCTTGCTGGCCGACAGCAGCACAGACGGCTGCTGGTTCATCGCAGCGTTCGTCTCTCGCTCCACCGACAAAATCCTGGGCGCTGCCGCCGCCGCAGCCGCAGCAACCGCTCCCTCCTTGAGGCGCTGCGCCTGCTGCTGCTGCTGCTGCACCGCCGCCGCCACCGCGTAACCGTGCGGCAGCGCCGGTCCAAAGCCGAGCCTCGCCGCGCCGTGCGGCGGGGGGCTGAGCTCCCCGGCCGCGATCGTCGCGGGGGCCACGGTGCCACCGTGAGCTTGCAGGGCGGCAGTGGCGGCGGTGGTGGTGGAGGGCGCCACCTGCTGCTGTTGCTGCTGTTGCTGCTGTTGCTGCTGCTGCTGCTGGTGCTTGTGAACCATGGCCAGCATCGCGCTCTGCCCGTGCACAAAGTGCGAGGAGCCGCCCATGTGGCCGTGCTGCTGCTGCGGGGGAGCGGCGCCGCCCCGCGCAGGGAGGAGGCTGTGCATGCCGAAGCCGTGCAGAGCTCCCGGCGTTATCGTCGTGAGGCTGCGCTGGCCCTGCTGCTGCTGCTGCTGCTGCAGCTGCTGCAACTGCTGCTGCTGCTGCAGCTGCTGCAACTGCTGCTGCTGCTGCTGCGGCGCCGGCGACGCGATGGAGGCGGCGACGGCGGGAGGGCGAGCGACGGAGGCCAGGGGGTAGGCGCCGTGCAGCAGCGTCGCCAGGCTCGACGAGTTGGCGGGCAGGCCCGGCGGGAGATCCGGAGGCGCAAGCGAGGCCGGGCCGGCGCCGGTGGGGCCGGTGGGGCCGGCGTGGGGGTGGGAGCCGTGCGTGGCTGCCGACCGCGACGGGGGAGGAGGAGGCGGGGGAGGAGGAGGCGTCGTGGTCTGCTCGATGACGCGGACGCCGTCACCCCCGCCGCCCCGAGCAGACGGCCGGGATCTCAAACCCAGCTGCAGCACAGGGGGACACAGAGCGTCATCATCGTCGTCATCGTCGTCGTCATCATCGTCACCGTCAGCAGCTGGCGTCACCCCCCGTGGAGTCGCTACGAGAGCGCCCGTGGAGACGTGCGAGGTCCAGAGTACGGCGCTCACCGCTTTGGAGCTCTGCTGGCCGAAGGACGACGTCTGCCTCATCTCTCCACTCGCTTCCTCGGCCCCTGCTCTCTCTGTCGGAGACAAGAGACAAAGATTCCCCACCGTGTAGCCTTCAACAGACTGTCGGGGCAAGTGCTGTAAGCGAGTAAACACCACCCCCGGCTGCCTTTGCCTCCCGATGAGCGACGTTTACACACCGCACCAGGAACCCACATTTGAGCGGCCGAGTCGACCTAGGACAGGGCCCAGGACCGGTTCAGATAATCGTCGTCACTGGTGTCGGTGGCCGTGAGCGGGAATCGAATTGGGGTTCGCGGGGTTCGCAGCGCAGCGCGCTTACCGCTGCTCTCTGTGCCCGCGTGCACAGCGCCAATTTGCATCTGTTATTAACAGCAGGATATCGTGGAGTGGCGAGCGGTTAAGCACTCGGCGACACGAGTTCAGATCCCGACAAGGGATAACATCGGTGGCGGGCGATATCGGCATCCGTTATCTCGTCACGGTGACGTCTAAACAGCAATGTGTGCCAGGCTAGGTGCACTGCGAGGCGGATACGTTAAGTGCGGAAGGCTCGTTGCTGGCAGGAGGTCACGGGACAGGCTCAGGTGCTACGCGTTGACTGACAAGACTGACAGATGCACCACCAGTGCGCAGCTCGATACAGAGAGTGGGGTGGGGGGCGGTATGGACACCGCAGCAAACGGCGTGGGGCTGCTGCCGCCGCCGTCGTTGCCGCGGCAACAGATGCGCCGAGGAGGCCGCTCAGCAGGTCGCCACGGCGCACGTGCCGTTGCCAAGGAAACGGGCTCTCAATTATCGCACCTCCACTCCGCTACCGCGAGCCGTTGCCAGGAGACTAATTGACGTCCTCGCGTTCGATCGCCGAGGCCAGGAAGGGGGCGACGCAGGGTACGCGCGAGCGGTACGCATGGCCAGGAAGTGGACTGAGTAGCAGTGGAGCTCCAAACACGAAGAGCAATACCATGGCACTGGAGATGCAGAAGGACCCCTCCCCCACTCGTGCTAACGAGTGGTGGCGCTGTGATGGGGCAGTGACGGCGCTAATTAATTGCAGATGCCGAGGACGGGAATTCGCGCTCCGTCTTGCATCCCCACATCGCGCGGTACTGATGCTCGCGACGATACCAACGACGGCGATGACAACGGAGATGACAACGACGAAAACGCTCAGAATGATTTTGATTATTTATGATGACGCCGATGGCGGCACTGATGATGGAAGTGAATTGAAGGCCCAGTGTGCTTCACCTTTGTCGTGATTTTTCGTCGGGAGTGCCGTCCTCGTTAAGCGCTCCACGAAACCGGGGTCCCGACGCTCCGCAGGGGTCCTGCACACGCACTCACCACAACCACGCCATTCTCACCACAACCACGCCGCTCTCACCAATGGCACCATCCTCACCACTCTCACCACACAACTCCGCACCACTCTCAAAACAACCGCACCACTCTCACCACAACCACACCACTCTCACCACAACCGCACCACTCTAAACAAAACCACGCCGTTCTCATCAATGGCACCATCCTCACCACTCTCACCACACAACCGCACCACTCTCACCACAACCGCACCACTCTCACCACAACCGCACCGCTCTCACCACAACCGCACCACTCTCACCACAACGGCACCGCTCTCACCACAACCGCACCGCTCTCACCACAACCACACCACTCTCACCACAACCGCACCGCTCTCACCGCAACCGCACCACTCTCACCACAACCGCACCGCTCACCACAACCGCACCACTCTCACCACAACTGCACCGCTCTCACCACAACCGCACCGCTCTCACCACAACCGCACCACTCTCACCACAACCGCACCGCTCTCACCACAACCGCACCACTCTCACCACAACCGCACCACTCTCACCACAACCGCACCACTCTCACCACAACCGCACCACTCTCACCACAACCGCACCGCTCTCACCACAACCGCACCGCTCTCACCACAACCGCACCACTCTCACCACAACTGCACCGCTCTTCACCACAACCGTACGACTCTCACCACAACTGCACCGTTCTCACCACAACCGCACCACTCTCACCACAACTGCACCACTCTCACCACAACCGCGCCACCCTCACCACAACCGCACTGCTCTCACCACAACCGCGCCGCTGTGAACCACGCGGCTGTGAGCCGTGTGAGAGGCGTGCACGCACCAGGCGGCCACGTGGGAGGAGGGTGGCACTGGGAGCTCCGAGCGAGCGCGCAGCTCCCCGCCGCCCTGCTTCTTCCTCTTCCTGTACTCGAGCAGCGACACCTGCACGGCAGCAGCAGCAACAACAGCAGCAGCAGCAGTCAGCAGCAGCAGTCAGCAGCAGTCAGCAGCAGCAGCAACAACAGCAACAACAGCAGCAGCAGCAGCAGCAGTCAGCAGCAGCAGCAGTCAGCAGCAGTCAGCAGCAGTCAGGGACGCACGCGCAGATACACACGCACACACAGCAGAAGATCTGTACTTACCGCAGCCCGTTCCACTGGTCATGACGTAGCTGTGGTGCCGTGTCCCACAATGCACCGCGTGTCGAGACGTAGTGAACGGTCGGTACGCCGCAGCAACCTCACTAGAGGGCGCTATTGCATCGCGCCCGAATATTTTATTCGCGAGTTCTTAAACACTATGAGACATCTCCTTTACCAGTGACAAAATATTGTAATAGGTTTTTACCCTTTCAACTGGCACAAAAACTGACACCTTTATACAAGGCATCATGTTTGCAATAACCACAACACAAGCAGTCAAAATGCAAACAAAAAGAAACAACTCTGATGATGATAATGATATGCACTGTCCTTGAAGTTGATTGGTCCACACCCGAGACAGCTTTTCTTAGAGCCTAGTCTCCATTGGTGTTGGACCAGATGACGCCAAAAGGCATACAACTCAAAGACAGCACACTATTAGAGTATTGAGAGCTCGGGGTAAGCATTTACACTATGAGACCTCCTACACCAATGGGGACTAGGCTCTAAGAAAAGCTGTCTCGGGTGTGGACCAATCAACTTCAAGGACAGTGCATATCATTATCATCATCAGAGTTGTTTCTTTTTGTTTGCATTTTGACTGCTTGTGTTGTGGTTATTGCAAACATGATGCCTTGTATAAAGGTGTCAGGTTTTTGTACCAGTTTAAAGGGTAAAAACCTATTACTATGAGTTCTTAAACCTCAAGGATTCCATGAGCTCCTGCCGAACTGCCGACGTCTCTCCAAAGCTATCAACGACATTCTTGGGATTCTGGGCACCGAGGAGTCGTGAAGACACATCTAAGACTGTTGAGGTTCGAGTCAAGGCACGTCTAGAGTTCTCGGCGTAAATGAAACAACTCGAGACTCAGAGGTATCGTTACGTCTCTCAGAGATCAGCGAAGAATATCGGTGAGACCCCCCCAAGATCCAAATGTAGGCCGTGGTCCCACGCGGGCCCAGCGCTAGCCCAGCGCTAGCCCAGCGCTAGCCCAGCGCTCCGGCGGCACCCACCTTCTTCCGGCGAGGAAGCGGCGCGTGCAGCAGCAGCGCGGATGCCGAGCCCGGGCGTCGTCCCAACGCCAGCAGCGCCGGCGCCGATCCCGACCCCATCTCCCACAAGGCTCCGTCCGCGCCGCCCGGCCGTTCCGACCCCGGCCGCTCCGCGTCCCCGGCGAGCAGCACGCGGTCCCGCGCAGCCAAGCGCCGCAGCTCCATCTCATCGTCCTCCTCCTCCTCGTCATCGTCGTCATCGTCGTCGTCGTCGTCATCGTCGTCCTCTTCATCCTCCTCCTCCTCGTCGTCTTCATCCTCGTCGCCAGTGGAGCGGCCCTGAGGTCGCTCGCTCGAGCCGAGCTGCTGCTGCTGCTGGGGAAGGTGGCGCTGGTGATGGTGATGCTGCTCCATAAGCTGCTGCTGCTGCTGGTGATGATGCTCTATCAACTGTTGTTGCTGCTGTTGATGAGGATGCTGATCTAACAGCTGCTGCTGATGATGTTGGTGATGCTGATCTGTGAGCTGCTGCTGCTGGGCATGGTGGTAGAAGAACATCTGCTGGGGCTGCTGCAAGCGGTCGCCCACCTCCTCCACGTCGGCCACGTCGCCGTCGTCATCGTCGCCGCCGCTGTTTCCCTGGCACGGGAACTGCGAGAAGGCCCTGCCGGGGAGGTTGGCATCCAGGCCGCGGTGTCCGGCACCGCCGCCGCTGCCGCCACCGGCGCCGGTCGCCCCCGTGAAGAACGGAAGGCCCGGGCGCTCGGGCACGGCGAGACGCGGCTCCTCGGGGCCCAGCGACAGGAAGGAGGCCTCCAGCGAGTAGAAGCTGAGGCCCGTGTTGTCCTGGGAGCACTCGGGCGACGAGATGTTCTGGACGCACACGCACGCACATGAGCGCACGCACATGAGCGCACGTACACAAAGCTCGTGAACGCACGCGAACTACGCGTGCGTTCGCACGAGGGCCTGCAAACACGCGCGGAGACACTGGGGCGCGGACAAATGTGCGCACACGCCGCATGCACGCCGACACACAGACACGCCTGTCCGCCTTTGTCTCCCCAGTGGTGAGAGTTACACATCGCACCAGGTACTCGTTTTAAGCTGAGTCGACCTAGGGGAGGCCCAGGACCGTTTCAGATAATCGTCACTGGTGTTGGCCACGAGCGGGAATCGAACCCGGGTTGCCAGGTTTGTAGCACAACACGCTAACCACTCCCCTCACACATACACATATTGCGTTTGTCATGTTGGTGACCCAAGTCACTCTGGAATAAGTAATATTTTTTAAAACATTCGTAATGGCAGAACTCCACGACTCCACGAAGTGGCCCCGAAGCTTGCCAATTACAGCCAACGTCAGTTGACCGTGGACAATTAGACCCAAGCCGAAACATAACATATAAAAAAGATGGTTTAAAAATATATACTTTTTTTTTTATGATAGAATATAGTATTGTCATCAGTATGACATAAGTATACCAAGTTTGCAGTGGATACCACATTGGCAAGTGGGTTAAAATTGAGTTACAAGATTTGAGGATACAACAACAACAACAACAGACAGAGTGAGTTAATAGAAAGCGTGTAAAAAAATCGTTTAAAATGTTTTATTTTTTTATGATAGAATATAGTATTGTCATCAGTATGACATAAGTATACCAAGTTTGCAGTCGATACCACATTGGGAAGTGGGTTAAAATTGAGTTACAAGATTTGAGGATACAACAACGACAACAACAAACAGAGCGAGTTAAATAAAAGCGTGTAAACAATGAGACCCATCCTGGCCTCTTAAGTTCTCACCGCGCTAAAACTAAACTTGCATCTTCATCTCGAAAGAACCCCCGCCCAAGAAATATTTTGGCCTAACCGTGGGAATTCCCACACTGCACCGGGCCACACGGGACCGGACGATTTGGCCGTGGCGAACACATTGACGCTTCTGGGCGCGCAGCGGCGCAGGGGATTAAGAAACCGTGGCCCGGAACGGGACGACGCGCTAAACGGCGCCACCCATCTCGGCGCAATCCACCAACCCTCGCCTGCCAGGCGCCGAGGCTCACGGCCGCGCGGCACCTTCACGCCGGCTCAAGGAAACTCTCGCGCGGCCCCTCGGGCCCCCGCGCCCACCCCGTAACGCACCTCGAAGACGGGCGGCGGCGGGTAGGACGGGCCCTCGGGGCTGATGGGAGAGAAGACGGGCCGGAACGGCAGGCAGCCGCCGTCCAAATCCAGCGCCCGATCATCCACCGCCGAGTCCGCTCCGGACTTTGGCAGCGCGCCGCCGCTGTCCGGATCGGCGTCGCCGCTCCGCCGCCGCTCGTCCGCACGGTCCACGTCCTCGGCCCTCTCCCGCTCCTGCTGCTCCTGCCGCTGCTGCTCCTGCCGCTGCCGCTGCTGCTGCGGCTGTTGGACGCCCACCACCACGCAGTCGTCCCAGTGCGCCGCCGCGCCGGAGGGGTCGCCAGGGGGCGGTGGTTCGGCCGGGCGTTGCGGCGGCGGCGGCGGCGTCACCGCGATGGCGGCGGTGGCTCCGTCAGGGACGGCGCCGTCTGTGCCGGGATCCCAGCTCGAGGAGGCGGCGGCGGCGGCGGCGGAGGAAGCCGTGGGCTCCGGCGCGTGCGGAGAGTTGGTGCGCACGCAACGCTTCTTAGGGGGCGCCGGCAAGTCTGTGTGTGGGTGGGCGGATGAGACAGGACGGGGGGGATGAGACAGGACGGGTCAAAATATCGTCGAGACACTTTCAAATATCTCATTGCGCCCCGTTGGTATTATCCGTCTCCTACGTTTCCCTCTCTCTTTATTCTGTGGTAATGATGACGACGACGACTTGAGAGCGATATCGGATGTCCGTGGTAATGGCCGGTCAGCGGGCCTCACCGCTGGAGGAGGCGAGGCTGAGCGAGGGGGACACGCAGCTCAGGCTGTCGCCCGTCTCGCTGGCCGAGGGGCTGCCCTGCGACGGCCGCTGCAGCTGCAGAGCGTCGGCGCCAACGTCCACGGCCGGCGCAGTCGCCGCCGCGGCAGCGGGAGTGAAACCTCCCTCCTGCGCCGCGTCCTGGGCTTCGGCCAACGCCTGCCGCAGCCACCGCTGGGGGTGGGCGAGGGCAAGCGGAGAGGAGCGGCGAAGAGAAGAGCGGAGAGGAAAGGGCGGCATGGTAGCAGGGGGGGTAGGAAGACGGAACAGGAAAGCAGACGGAAGAAGAGATGGGAGGAAATAAGAGGACGGGCGAAGATAGAGGAGGAGGTGGAACAGGGGTGGAGAGGACCAAAAAGCGTCATTACCAGCAGCGTGGCCTTCAAATCGGGGCAGTGACAAATGTTGGCTCTGACAAAATCATTCTGAAAAACTACCGTACCTGCCCGAACCTCTCGCCCCGCGCCGCGCACGCTCACCTTCTTGCAGGGCGCCGACAGCGCGTCCGCCGGCTGGTGCTGCTGGTGCTGCTGGTGGTGCTGCTGCTGCGTCTTGCGCCAGCCTCGCGGCCTTCGGCCCCCGGCCGCGCCGCCGGGCCCCGCGCCGGCGGCTCCCGCGCCGGATCCGCCGCGCCGCTTCTCGGGCAGGAAGGGCGAGGTGAAGCGCACGTAGTGCTTGGGCGCGGTGCACACCTGCAGCGCGGGGCCCAGGCCCAGCAGGAGGTTGAGAACGTGCGCCAGCGAGCTGGGGTCGTCCGACACGCGCACGGGGCTCACGCAGCCGCCGCCGGCGCCGCCCGGCACGGCGCCGCCACCGCCGGCGGAGGAGGCGGCCAGGGAGGCGTCGGACGGCGCGGGAGACGACACGGAGCCCACGCCCTCCTGGGGACGGGCGGCGAGACGTTAGCCACGGTGCGCGCGTACACTTTACGTTATGGTCAACGCGGTCAACGCGACATCTCGCGTGGAATACCGCTAGAGGTGGAGCGCCTCGTTCGCACGGCTGTCCAAGTCAGAATCAGAATCTTTATTTATACAGGAGGAATGTGATGAGCGACAAAGCTGCTGGACAACAAAAGAGACGCCGACACGGCAAACGCGTGACGACGACGACGATGACGTTCCCATCGCCGCCGGCGACGTTCACGAGTTTGACGGTGCGGACACTTGCCCTGCTGCCGCCGTCGATGGAGCCGTCGTACCCGGAGCCCCCGTCCCCCACCGCCCATGCTCCGTCTCCGCACATCCCGTCCGGCCCTGGCGCCGCTCCCTCGGCCGGCGCTCCCCCCGCCCCGGCTCCCGGCGGCGCCTCGGCCGCGACCGTGGCCGAGGACGCCGCCGAGGCCACCGCCGCGTCCGACGGCGCCGACGCGCACTGCGGCGTCGGCGCCCGCGGCAGGAGCGACGGCACGACGCCCGAGGTCGCCGCCGCCGACGACGAGGAGGACGATGATGACGAGGCGGCGGCGGCGGCGGCGGAGCAGGCGGAGCCGGGCCCGGCCCCGCCGGAGGAGTCGGACGCCCGGGGCTTCCGGCGCGAGCGCCCAAAGCAACGGCGGGGGCGGCAGCGTGAGGAGCGCGGCTGGGAGGGGCGCGAGGGGGTCGTCGCCTCCTTGGAGGGCGTCGCGCGGGCCTGCGGGAGGGGGCAGCGGCAACAACACGCACGGCGGTCGTTCGCTCGCCCGCACATCGCCGATTGCAAGTCTGTCCGGTCATTCAGTGGAGCTTCTGTCTGTCTGTTTATCCGACAGATGAATCATTCACCTCGGGTGTACAATCGTTCACCCATACTCGTGGTTGTCCATCTGAACCTACGGCAGGCTCACCCCGCATGTGGATCCAACTGTTTGCAAGTTTGTCGTTCTTTAGTGTGTGTGTGTGTACATCGGTCCAATCATCTTTCGATCCATCCGGATATCCATTCATTTAATCGTCCATCTGTTTTTCCAGATATAAATAGGTCGATCTGTAAACCTGTTCCGTGTGCCTGTATCTCTCCATCTGTCTATTCAATTAAAGACGAGTTGCTGGCTCCCCTGCCACGCTGGCTATATACAACCACACACAACACACACACACCTCCAAACACATACTAAGACAAAGATCACCCGTATAGCCTTAACATACTGTTGGAGCAAGTACTGTTCGTGAGCACTTATAAAGGCCGGAACGACGCACGAGGGGGTGGGTGGCCAGCACCACGCCCGACCGCCTTTGTCTCCCTAGTGGCGATATTTACACACCGCACCAGGTACTCATTTGAGGCTGAGTCGACCTAGGGGAGGCCCAGGACCGGTTCAGATAATCGTCACTGGGTGTTGGCCGTGAGCGGGAATTGAACCCGTGTCGCCGGGTGCATAGCGCAGCGCGCTAACCGCTACACCACCGACCCCCACTAATAGTACACACACATACACACACACATACACACACATACACACACATACACACACATACACACACATACACACACATACACACACATACACACACATACACACACACACACACACATACACACACATACACACACACACACCTCTGGGGGGGTGCCGGTTTCCCGCTTGACGTCAGGCGAACCCCCGGGCCTGGGGGGCCCCCCCTCCCCGCCGGGCTCCCTCAGTGACCCCGCGACCCCCAGCCCCTCTGCCTTGACGCGATCCTTTCGCTCGCTGCCGCTGCCGCCGCCGCGGCTCGCCGCGTCCGCCAGCGCGGCGCCGGTGGCGTCGCTTCGCCTGCGCTCCCTGCGGTCGGCGCGCGCGCAGGCGGCCTCCAGCCGGCGCTCCTCGCGGCACTGCGCACGCACACGGCGGCCCCCCGGCGGCGCAACCGTCACTCCCGCGGCCGGCTCGACGTGGCCCTGACGGAGGCAGCCAGCCGGCGCCGGGGCGCCTGGGTTCGAGGTCTGGGGGTCTCGCGCCCGAGAGGTCACGTAATGGTCGTGCCAAAAACTGCTGATAAAGCGTTTCGAGGTCTATGGCCGGCCGACCGGCCGTCTCTCTCACGTTCTCTCCACGAGTTCATAATGTCTTCTTCTTGGTTCTTTCGGTAAAGTCAGGTAGAAGGAAAATAATAAAATAATAAAAACAAAACATAATAAAATAATTCTCATGACGTTTCGGCCACAACTCTGTCTCCTTGACAGACCTGTTCTTCACCTGAAGACGGCTGCTTGCGTTGTGGCCGAAACGTCGTGAGAATTATTTTATTAGTTTTAATTTTTTCTTATTTAATTATTTCCCTTCTACGTGACTTTACCGAAAGAACCAAGAAGATGAATCCCTGCAGTCACGAAAGTTTTAAATCGGAGTTCATAATGGCCACGCCGGAGATGTCAAAGCAATGTCCTGGGTTCAAACCCGGGTAAATGGGGCTTTCTCTCGGACACTCCCTAAGGCAATTGATAATGGCCACGTTGGAGACAAGAAGACAACAACGTTGAGGTCGTGGGCTCAAGCTCTGCGCGCGTGTCGACAATGGACTGGCAGACTGGTCTCTGGGACACAGGCTGTGGGAGGGGTCACCTGTATTCCTGACAGCGAGAGTCGTATCGGAGACACGGGTCTCTCCGTGGAGGCCGCATGCCCCGAGTCTCCGCTTCTCTCCGCCTCCTCCCGCGACCGGCAGCCACGGCGCCGCGTGTCGTATCTAAGCACGCACGCACGCACGCCTGGCTCTTATATCCCACTTCACCAATGCAGTACAAGTTGTATTCACAGTCGAACATGCGACTGCATCTCTAGACGCTGTGCAGAAGCAGTGGGCTCAATGTTTGGCTTATAGAACGAGGTCGGCAGTCATAAGCGGACGGAATAAGTAATGTACTAGTAATGGCAGAACTCCACGACTCCAGGAAGTGGCCCCGAAGCTTGCCATAACGTAAGGGACCGTGGCCAATTACAGCCAACGTCAGTTAACCGTGGACAATTAGACCCAAGCCGAAACATAACATATAAAAAATAATGTTTAAAAATATATATTTTTTATGATAGAATATAGTATTGTCATCAGTATGACATAAGCAGTCGACATAAGCAGTCGATAGCACATTGTGAAAGTGGGTTAAAATTGAGTTACAAGATTTGAGGATACAACAACGACAACAAAAACGACAGAGTGAGTTAAAAGAAAGCGTGCAAACAGGTTTTGTGTCTGGACTTGAATAGGGGCAGGGAGTCCACAGCACAGACGGCTGGGGAAAGTGTCCGCGCATTCTAAGGTGGCAGCAGCAACAGACGGGATGGAGAAGCTCTTCCCGAGCAGAGGTTGACTGGGGAAAGCTTCAGGGGCAGCTGGAGCGAGAGACACGTGGAGAGAGAGAGCAGAGCGAGAGGATCGGACAGAGGAGAGCTCTGGGGGGGATCTATCTTGAAGGTGGCCACTGATGGAGTGGCTGGAGGGTTATGGCAGCAGAATTTTAGTCCCTCCGACTCGTGATCAAAAACATCGTCCAGACTTCTCGCGACGTCACTGCCGTTCCGGAATGGAGCGACGCACCTCACGTTCAAGGGCTTTTGTTCACGAGCAAAGGTTGTAGCTTGTGCGGCGAGGGACAACCGCGGCGCAGGCGCGCGTCGCCTCGAACCGGCGGCCTGAGCGGTGGTGTGGGAGGCGAGGGGGTCGAGGGGAGGTGAGGGGAGGGGAGACGAGGGGAGACGAGGGGAGGGGAGGCGAAGGGAGGGGAGGCGAGGGGAGGGGGTCGAGGAGAGGGGAGGCGAGGGGAGGCGAGGGAGAGGCGAGAGGAGGGGAGGCGAGGGGAGGGGAGGCGAGGGGAGGCGAGGGAAGGCGAAGGGAGGCGAGGGGAGGCGAGGGGAGGCGAGGGGAAGGGAGGCGAGGGGAGGCGAGGGGAGGCGAGGGGAGGGGAGGCGAGGGGAGGGGAGGCGAGGGGAGAGGAGGTGAGGGGGAGGGGTTCGAGGGGAGGCGAGGGGAGGCGAGGGGAGGGGAGGCGAGGGGAGGGGAGGGGAGGCGAGGGGAGGCGAGGGGAGGGGAGGCGAGGGGAGGGGAGGCGAGGGGAGGCGAGGGGAGGGGAGGCGAGGGGAGGCGAGGGAGAGGCGAGAGGAGGGGAGGCGAGGGGAGGGGAGGCGAGGGGAGGCGAGGGGAGGCGAGGGGAGGGGAGGCGAGGGGAGGGGAGGGGAGGCGAGGGGAGGGGAGGCGAGGGGAGGGGAGGGGAGGGGAGGCGAGGGGAGGCGAGGGGAGGGGAGGCGAGGGGAGGCGAGGGAGAGGCGAGAGGAAGGGAGGCGAGGGGAGGGGAGGCGAGGGGAGGCGAGGGGAGGCGAGGGGAGGCGAGGGGAGGGGAGGGGAGGCGAGGCGAGGGGAGGCGAGGGGAGGGGAGGCGAGGGGAGGGGAGGCGAGGGGAGAGGAGGTGAGGGGGAGGGGTTCGAGGGGAGGCGAGGGGAGGCGAGGGGAGGCGAGGGGAGGCGAGGGGAGGGGAGGCGAGGGGAGGCGAGGGGAGGGGAGGCGAGGGGAGGCGAGGGGAGGCGAGGGGAGGCGAGGGGAGGGGAGGCGAGGGGAGGCGAGGGGAGGCGAGGGGAGGCGAGGGGAGGCGAGGGGAGGGGAGGCGAGGGGAGAGGAGGTGAGGGGGAGGGGTTCGAGGGGAGGCGAGGGGAGGCGAGGGGAGGCGAGGTGTTGCGTGAGCCTCACCCGTGCCGAGACTTCTGCAGCACCTCGTTGTTGCGACGCTGCACGGGGCACTCGGTCTCCCGGCGCGCGCACGCACATTCCACGCGATACGCGCTGTCAAACACACACGGTCACACGCGCTGTCAAATGCACGTGGTGACACAAACGGTCAATTCACACACATGTTCACACACGCACAAGTCAACAACCACAACCGCCGTTCACCACTGAGTGGTGGTGACATCACTACAATGCTTGTGGCAGGCTAGGTGCACCTTGAGGCCATGTGAACTGGTAAAAGTTAGCTAGCAGGAAATCACGGGACAGACCGACTGAGATGACTGGCAGATGCACCACCTGTGCCAACTTGCTGAGTTTTAGCCACCTGGTGCGCTCCACTCATTGTTGTGAACTTTGCTCCTCTGTTCTTTGTTGCCGTTGGGAGGGTGACTCCCAACTGGACGGCAGCGTCTTTCACTTTCGGGCGTGTGGGAGGCTCCGATCCGGCAGTGGATTGGTTGTGCTTGGGCACTGCCGAGTGGGCTGGGACCGGTGTGTGTGTGTGCCTTGTCACCCGCCCGCCCACCCGCCCACCCGCCCACCCGCCCACCCGCCCGCGTGTCTCCGTGATCCTCACCAGCCACCGTAGTCAAAGTCGAAGGGGATGGTGATCTCCGAGCCCTTGCCGATGAGCGCCACCGAGTAGATGCACAACCGGATGACGCCCTTCTCCACTATGTGCCGCACCTGGAATCGCGTACAAAGACAAAGGTGCCCGACCACCACCCCCCCCCCACGTAGCATTTAGAGACCGTTGGGGCAAGTGCTGTTAAGCGAGCACCTACAAAGGCCGGCACGGCACGAGAAAGGAAGGCGTGGTACTTGTGTGGAGGCCGGCCGAGTAATCCTCATGGGAGGCCCACGACTGATTCAGACCTCTCTCGCCGCTGATCTTATAGCCGTGGCCGGGAATCGAACTCGGGTCAGAGGTTTCTTATCCCAACAGGACCACAGAGCTTGGGAAACTGTTGGCGCCCGTTCTGGCTGCGTTCACGTTTGTCTGTGGGTTTCCATCACTCACCCATCTCTCTCTCTCTAAGTGGCAACACAAGCTCTGCAGTAGTTCATTTATACGTTTCTGTGGAATTAGCAGCGCGGTAATGCCCCAGACTCGGCGTGCCCCCTCGCTCGCTCGCTCGATTCAGGAGCATCGCAGCTGCAGCGTGAGGAACGCGGGTCGGTGGCGGCGACGTTGGCAGCGTGGGGTGGAGTCGCACCTCGGCGTTGGGCGTGCACGAGCGGCGGATGAATCGCGCGGCGTTGCCGAAGGTCCTCGCGTCCACACACACGTCCACGCCGTCGCACTTGGAGTAGAAGAGCACGAAGGGGTACGGCCTGCGCGCGCGCGCACGCACACAGCCCCATCTAGCCTCGCAGCCCGCGGGGGGGTAGCGCTATCCAGCCGCGGCCTAGCCACTGCCGCTTTAACGGGCCGAGCCGGCGCCGTCTCTCGCGGTCCGGCGAGGCGGCGATCCGACCGGCTCCGGCACGCGATCCGATATTGGCGCTCCGCTTCCGCCGCGAGTCGCCGGGGAGCGCGGAGGGCACGGCCGCCCCTCCCGTCGCCGCTCACCTCTTGAAGAAGTGTCCGTTGGCCTCGAACTGCGTGCTGAGCATGACGACGCCGCGGTACTCGATGACGAGGGAGTGCGGGGGCAGCGGCCGGGCGGCCGTGACCACGCGGCCCAAGTAGAGCGAGTCTGGGACCGCGCGGCCTCGAGACAACGCGCACTGCATGCGCGCGCACGCACACACATGTCAACACACGCACACACAGGTGAACACACGCACACACACACGTTAACACACGTGAACACCCGCACACACACACGTGAACACACGCACGCACGCACACAAGGGAACACACGCACGCACACACACACGTCAACACACGCACACACACACGTCAACACACAAAGATAAAAAAGATCCCCCGTATAGCCTGAACAGACTGTAGGGGCAAGTGCTGTTAGCGAGCACCTATGAAGGCCGGAACGGTACACGAGGGGGTGGGTGGCCAGCACCACGCCCGACCGCCTTTGTCTCCCTAGTGGCGATGTTTACACACCGCACCAGGTACTCATTTAAGGCTGAGTGGGGAGCGGTGGTGTAGCGGTTAGCGCGCTGCGCTATAAACCTGGCGACCCGGGTTCGATTCCCGCTCACGTCAACACACGCACACACACACACAGGTGAACACACGCACACACACACGTCAACACACGCACACACACACACAGGTGAACACACGCACGCACACACACACGTGAACACACGCACACACACACGTCAACACACGCACGCACACACATACGTCAACACACGCACGCACGTCAACACACGTGAACACACACACACAGGTGAACACACGCACGCACACCCACACACACGTAAACACACGCACGCACGTCAACACACGTGAACACACACACACAGGTGAACACACGGACAATAATAACAGCTGCGATTCGCCACTAAGTGGCGCTGATGTAACCACAGCACTTGTGCCAGGCGAGGTGCACTTTGAGGCCACGTGAAGTATCAAAGGCTCGCCGACACACGAATAAACGAAGACAAAGATTCCCCCTTTAGACTTTAATAAATCGTCTGTTTTGGGCAAGTGCTGTCCGCGAGCACCGATGAAGGCTGGCATGGGGGTGGTGTGGCCAGCACCATGCCCAGCCACCAGCACCATGCCCAGCCATCAGCACCATGCCCAGGTATTCGCCACTGATGTTGGCCACGAGCGGGAATCGCGCTTCTCCATGGTCGAACATTGAATAACGAGCGCCTCTCTAGCAGCTGCTACCCAATCAGGGTGCAGAGTTCGTAGCGCAGCACGCTAACCACTGCACTACCACTCACTTCCATAGACACAACAACCGCCATTCGCCACTAAGTGACGGTGACGTCACCACGGCGCTTGTGCCAGGCCATGTGCACCTTGAGGCCACACACACAACCGCACAAAAGACAAAGATCCCGCGTATAGCCTTAACAGACTGTAGGGGCAAGTGCTGTTAGCGAGCACCTATGAAGGCCGGAACGGTACACGAGGGGGTGGGTGGCCAGCACCACGCCCGACCGCATTTGTCTCCCCAATGGCGATGTTTACACACCGCACCAGGTACTCATTTAAGGCTGAGTCGACCTAGGGGAGGCCTAGGACCGGTTCAGATAATCGTCACTGGTGTTGGCCGTGAGCAGGAATCGAACCCGGGTCGCCAGGTTCATAGCGCAGCGCGCTAACCGCTACACTACCGCTCCCCACTACACACACACAGGTACACGGGCACACACATGTGCACAGGCCCCCCACCACCAACCTGTCGCTTGAGAGAGACGAGCACGCAGTCCGAGTCAACTTCGCGCTTCTCCACCTCCCCATTGAACCCCTCCACATGCCCCGCACAGCCGTCAGGGTCCTCTTCACCGTCACCGCCGCCACCACCACCACCACCACCGTCATCCCCACCATCGCCGGCTTCACCAGCATCATCAGCAGCAGCATCCCCTCCACCGTCCTTCACTCCCGGAGTTCGTTCGCTCCACCTCCTGACGGTGACCGCGACCGCCCCGTGTTCCGCGGGGACGCCGCCCGGCTCGGTCCCCTCCCCGCCGATCGACGCCCGGCGCCCGCCGCCGGTGCCGGCGTCGCCGCCGTCCACGGGGGAGCCCTGGCGGCGCCGCAGCAGCAGAGCCGAGCGCAGGTCGGCGCTGTAGCGGTTCGCCAGCGCCTCCTCGTAGTTCTCGGCCCACGAGCGCACGCGGTTCCGCCAGTCAGCGCCCGAGTCGTCGTCGCACCCGCCGGTGCCGGCGGTGGAGGAGGACGAAGAGGAGGCGGAGGAGGAGGAGGCCAAAGCGTCCGTGGGAGTCGTGGGGAGGTCTCCGCCCGGAGAGGTCTCGCCTGCGACGCTCTGATTGGGCAGTGGCGGAGAGAGAGGATCGCGTTAGGCGATGGGCGACCATGGCCGACAGGGGCGGCCCGGACGCTCAGGCGGATTCTAAACCACCAACGGCGGACGGGGCACGGCATAGACGGGAGGCACTGGCGGCCGATTCGTCAAGATATAAATCTGCCACGTACATCTCAGAATATCGCCAAATTCAACCTTGACCGCAACCACCCTCTCGCGGTCGTGCTTGCCATCGCTACCATCGCAGGCGAGCGACAATTCGCCCACACGGATTCCAGTGTCACGCTACTCGGCGTCGCGAGTCTCGTCTGTACCGCCCATCTCGTCCGTACCGCCCCGTTCGTCCCGTAAGCCTCGTAGGGACGACTTCACGAACCATGGGCATGCGGTGTAAGAATAACCGATCCTTCCACGGATGATTCTACGCATGTGCCGTGGGCAAAAGAGCCAACGTGTACAGTCGAACGCCACAAGCCTAGCCGTCACCACAGCCACCCTCTTCGTCAGCGATCCGTCACCTCCGTCGCTCTAATGTCGCGGATGCCGCTCTCAACGGCCGCATGGCTCGATTTGACCTTTGACTTCTAGGGTGCCAAGCCGCATCACAACGAGGCCTACAGTTGCATAGTCTAATCAACCCACGCGAGTGATCGCCTCTCTAACAATAGCTGCATCTACTGACAAGGTCGCTGCACTAGCGCGGGTACACGCTCCATGTGAATGGTGACTTATTGTCATTTATAAGGATATTTATTGGAGACACGTGCTCACCTTTATTCTTGCAGACTTGCGTAGACCTTCTCTTAATGGCTGTGAAATAAATAAAAAACATCAACGGTCAGCAGACTCCACGTAAGTAACATCATCGCACCCGGGGCTACGTGGAGGCCAGGTGCTACGTGCACAATAACCGTGTTGACAAACGGGCGCATACGGAGCCGCTAATCACGGATCGCACGAGTTCAAATCCGGGCCAGGGTTGACTCGGACCGTCATTCCTCGGAGGTCAATAAAATAGGTAACGCTTTGTGGGATGCCACGAGCGGTTTTCCTTAATTGGCCAATGGAGATGCGCACCACCCCATCGTCATCATCATCGTTCCTTCTTGGCCGATTCACAAAGCACCACCAAGTTTGGCTGTACCAGAACGGGCGGGCGCCGTCAACGCGGCGATCGCACACGTCCGTGCGGCTCCGGTACCGACCTTCTTGGCCCGCGCCGCCGGCCGGCGCTGCCTGCCGACCGCGCTCCGCTTGCGCTTCACGGCGGCCGCCGCCGTCATCGGCGAGAACGCCTTGCCAGCGCCGTCGCCGCCGTCAGCGCCGTCGCCGCCGTCGCCGGCCGCCGCCCTCCCCGCCGCGCGCCCGCGCTCCTGAGACAGCGAGCGCGGGCGCGCGGGGCCTCGTGCCGCCGCCGCCGACACGGCCGCCCCCGCCGCCGCCCCCGCTGGCCCCGCCGCGCCGCCCGCAGCAGGAACGGCGCGATTCGCCATGAGCGTGAGCGTCGTGGGGGACTGCTGGACTGCCGTGTAGGACACCGTCATGCACGCGGGCAGCTCCTCCTCCTCCTCTTCCTCCTCCTCCTCGTCCTCCTCGTCCTCCTCCGCCTCCTCTTCCTCCTCGTCGTCGTCCTCCTCATCCTCCTCGTCCTCCTCCGGCGGCGGCGCCGCCGTGGAGCCGGCCTGCGCCTGCTGCTCGGAGGAGTCGCGGCTCCTGGCGCCGCCGCCGCCGCTTGGAGGGGAGGTGGGGAGGGGCGGCCGTGGGCCCAGACGGCACGCGCGCTGCTCCCCCGTCCCGTCTGGAGTCCAAGCACAACCACAACAACAACAATCACAACCACAATCTCAACAACAGCAATCACAACCACAATCTCAACAACAGCAATCACAACCACAATCTCAACAACAGCAATCACAACCACAATCTCAACAACAGCAATCACAACCACAATCTCAACAACAGCAATCACAACCACAATCTCAACAACAGCAATCACAACCACAATCTCAACAACAACAATCACAACCACAAACTCAACAACAGCAATCACAACCACAATCTCAACAACAACAATCAAAACCACAAACTCAACAACGGCAATCACAACCACAATCTCAACAACAGCAATGACAACCACAAGCACATCACAATAATGATGACAAGTCGGTTCACACACAGCATAAACTTGTGCTGCCTACAACACACAGCTCCCATTTATACAGCGTGTCCCAAATGTCAGGACACGTAGGGTTGTTATATTTTTTTAACAAATGTTCAAATTGACTTTAATGCACGCACGAATTTTCTTTTGAACTGGATTAAGGATTTTATGTTAAGGTTACAGGTGTAATCTTTGAACATTCATCAATTATGTTCCGTATCAATTCATCCAGCGGGAGACTGACAGAGGGCCGTAGAGGCTGCATCGACCTAGGGGAAGCACACACGAGGTTCAGATCGGCCACGTGGTATTGCGTGCCATGACCTGAAATCGAACCCAGGTGAAGTGGAGCAGAGTGTAACCACCGCAAAGCTGGTCACAGCAAGCAAACAAAGGCCAAGATCCCTTGTGTAGCCTGAAGAGACTAAATTTCGATTTGAAGCTTTTGTGACTGCAGGGATTCATCTTCTTGGTTCTTTCGGTAAGGTCACGTAGAAGATAATATAATTTTTAAAAAACATAATAAATTAATTCTCACGACGTTTCGGCCACAACGCTGTCTCCCCGACAGACATGTTCTTCACCTGAGGATGGCTGCTTGCGTTGTGGCCGAAACGTCGTGAGAATTATTTTATTATGTTTTATTTTTATTATTTAATTATTTCCCTTCTACGTGACCTTACCGAAAGAACCAAGAAGATGTTCATATGAGAACAGACAAATTGCACGAGGCCGCCACGCAGCGACTTCCTCTTACCGGGAGAGAAGCCCTTCCTGTTGGCAGGCTGCCTCCTCTGCCGCAACACCCTGCAAGAACATCGTCACCATCACCATCGTCGCCACGCTCACCACCACCACCAACACCCACCATCACCACCATCCCTCAAATCCCCGTGACCTCGTTGCCAGCGCTCGGTGATAAATTCCACAGCGAGCAGTGCACCACGCTGCCTGGGGGAACGGCTCACCACCCAGTCGCCACCAAACTCGCAGATGCTCCACGACCCAAAGAACTACGACAACTATCGCCGTCGTGAGCCGCGTGATTCATCGCGCGGCCATTCAATTCCCTCGACAACAACAACGCCCCGCGCAGCGATGACGACGACGACGACAAACAACGTACCCAGCGTCACTCTGGCTCCACGACCCTCCCAGCGACGCTCGCCTGCCGCCCACGCCCGGCTGCTGCTGCTGCTGCTGCTGGCGCTGCCTCCTCTGCAGTGTGGTGGGGCTGGAGAACGAGTAGCCGCCGCTTCCCTGCACTGTCGCGGCCCACGCGCCGGGCGCCAGCGGCGCGCGCGCGTGACCGTACACCGCCTGCGCTCCGTGCGGCGGCTGCTGCTGCTGCTGCTGGTGGGGAGAGGAGACGGCGCAGCGGGGGGCGCAGGCGGGCAGGCGGCCCCCTCCCTTCAGGGGGTGCAGCGGCGGAGGGGAGGCCGGGGGCGTGGGCGGCGGGGGGGCCCCGTAGTTGTGGTCCTGAAAGGGACATCGACGCCGACACGGCACGCACGGTGAGCACGATGGCCATCGCTGAAACCGACACCGCGCGCGGCCCCCCCACGGCCCCCCCACGGCCCCCCCACGGCCTCCCCCACGGCCTCCCCCATGGCCCCCCCACGGCCTCCCCCATGGCCCCCCCACGGCCTCCCCCACGGCCCCCCCACGCCCCCCCCCATGGCCCCCCCACGCCCCCCCCCATGGCCTCCCCCACGGCCCCCCCCACGGCCCCCCCACGGCCTCGTAACCTCACTGCCCTCTCTTTACAACGCTGCACGAGTTGACCGCGTGTGGCCCATGTATGTTTGTTTCTGCAAAGACGAAGAATGATTAATAAATAAGCAGACAATAGACTCGTGTTTCAGATATCTATCTATACCCCCCCCCCCCCCCGCATAAATAAAATCCCATCAGCCACACGGACTTCTGGAAGTGATTTTTTTCTCTCTCAACAGAATTGGTTTAATACGGTTTTGACATTCAGTGCTTCATCCAGCAGACGTGCTTCAAACATTGCGGGTGCACTACCAATGCCGGACCTCAGAGTTAATGATGAGTCCCTGGCGCCCCCTTGCGTCACACAGAGAGCGTGGAGGGGAGTGAGGTGAGAGGGGAGAGGTAGTAGCGGCTCAGCGCCGGGCCTCACCGTGTAGGGGAGGCCGAGGTATCCGTGCTGCGCTGCCCCGACACTCATGCCGGCGTGCTGCTGCTGCTGCTGCTGCTGTCCCCGCACGACAGCGTGCTGCTGCTGCTGCTGCTGCACGGGGCCACTGTGCTTCAGCACAGCCGACACGCCGCTGACGAACAAGTGCTGTGCCCCCGCGCCGGCGTGCGGGTGCTGCACCAGCTGCATTTGCGGCACGTGCTGCACCAGCTGCGCATGCTGCACCTGCGCCGCGGCGTGCTGCGTGTATTGCGCAGCGGCCTGCGAATGTTGCACGTGCAGCGCGCCGGCGTGCACGTGCTGCGCCTGTTGCGCGTGCTGCGGGCCAGCGCCGCCGGCGTGCTGCGCCTGCTGCACGTGCTGCGAACTGCCGAGCGGGTGCAGCGCGCCGGGGCCAGGGTGGGCGAGCTGCGCTACGCCCGGCGGGTGCAGCGCGCCGGTGCCGAAGTGCGGGTGCTGCGTGCCGGCGCCCGCGTGCAGAGAGCCGGCGCCGGCGTGCAGCGAGCCGGCGCCGGCGTGCGGGGTCGTCCCGGAGCTGCTGTGCGAGTGCTGCGGGAGGGTGCCGGACTTGTCCACCACGGGGCTCGCTTCGACGGACTCGGGCCTGCGAGCGGCACGGTCGAGCGTCACCGAGAGAGATCCATCTCCCGCCCCCCCCCTCCCTCCCTCCCCCGCGTGCCCGGCACGCGGGGGAGGGAGGCGGCAGAGCCAGCGCCGCGCCCGCGCACCGCCGTGTCTCCCAACTCGCCGCTGACCGCACGCTGTATCGGGAAGTCGTGTCTCGGCCGAGTCAACCCAAGAGATGTCGGCTATGGCCGGGAAGCGACCTCACGCGGCGCGTGACATCCTGCGGCCGCCCGCGCGCCGACTGTACCGTCGCTAGCACTCGTTTTAGGCTGCATCGACCTAGGGGAAGCACACACGAGGTTCAGATCGGCCACGTGGTATTGCGTGCCATGACCTGCAATCGAACCCGGGTCAAGTGGAGCAGAGTGTAACCACCGCAAAGCTGGTCACAGCAAGCAAACAAAGGTAAAGATCCCTTGTGTAGCCTTAAGGGACTAAATTTCGATTTAAAGCTTTCGTGACTGCAGGGATTCATCTTCTTGGTTCTTTCGGTAAGGTCACGTAGAAGGGAAATAATAAAACAATAAATAATAAACCATTCCAATATAAATTAATAATATACTAGATTAATAATATATTTTGCTTTTTTTTTCCCTTCTACGTGACTTTACCTTAAGAGACTGTTGAGGCAAGGTGGTGTTAGCGAGCACCGATGAAGACTGGCACAACGCACGAGGGGGGTGGGTGGCCAAGACCACGCCCAGCCACCTTTGTCTCCACAGCCGTGCCATTTAGTGCATTGCACAAGGTACTCATTTGTGGCCGAGTCGACCTAGGGGAGGCCCAGAACCGGTTCAAATGTTCGTCACAGTTATATTGCTCGTGAGCGGGAATCAAACTTGGGTCGCCGGGTTCGTAGCGCAGTGCGCTAACCACTGCACTAACACACGCTCACAAAGCTCACAACACGCACACGCTCACACACACACAGCAGTGGGTCGTGGTTGGCAGCCTGGTCACGTACGCACACACACACGGCGAGGTTCTGGCCGGCACCATTTCTTGGGGCTGCTAATTGAAGTGCACGTGTACGGGCCCCCCACCCACACTGAGCATCAATAATGTGTGGGGGGGGGGGGGGCAGGGGTGGAGGGGAGGGGGCGGCTAGGAGGGGCAGGGTGGCTGCGGCTAGCTCTGCCAAATTAGCATTCACCAATGTCAGCCACGACTCTCATCTCTCCCGCGCACGCGCGCGTGCGTGCGTGCGTGCGTCCGTCTGTCTCTGCGTGTCTGTCTGCGTGTCTTTGTCTTGTGTGCCCATGATGTGCCTCCGAGTCTGTGTTGCGAGGAGCGGTATCGTAGCGTTTAAACGCGCTGCGCTACGGACCCGGCGACCCGAGTTCGATTCCCGTTCACGGCCAACGTCGGTGACGAATATCTGAATTGGTTCTGGGCCTCCCCTAGGTCGACTCGGCCTCAAATGAGTACCCGGTGCAGTGTGTACCCCTTAGTAAGGGGAAGACAAAGGCGGCTGGCTACCCACCCCTCGTGTGCCGTGCCGGCCTTCACAGGTGCTCGCTAACAGCATTTGCCCCAACAGTCTGTTTAGAGCTATCTGGGGGATATTTGTATTTGTCTCTCTGTTACTAATTTCAGGCTAAAACGACTGAGAATAAGTTAAGGATTGGTTCAAACATTCTCCACAATTATTTCCCGTGAGCCAGAAACTAATGCGTGTCGCCGGGTTTATAGCGCAGTGTGCGAATCACAGCGCCACTGTTCCCCCATGTACGCACAAAGACAAATCCAAAGATCCCCCGTATAGCCTTCACAGACCGTTGGGGAAAGTGCTGTTAGCGAGCACCTATGAAGACCGGCACGGCACACGAGGGGTGGGTGGCTAACACCACGCCCGGCCGCCTTTGTTTCCCCAATGGCGATGTTTATGCATCGCACCAGGTACTCATTTGAGGCCGAGTCGACCTAGGGGAGGCCCAGGACCGGTTCAGATAATCGTCACTGGTGTTTACCATGAGCGGTAATCGAACCCGGGTCACCAGGTTCATAGCGCAGCACGCTAACTGTTAAAATACCGCTCCCCACACACACACACACACCACCATCACTACTACACGGCTTACACACACACTCGCATACACACACAGCCCTAAGTCATTTTGTGAATTATTTTTCTACAAATAAGATTCCAAATTCTGTGGATATTTCAACCTCCAGGGTAGATAAAATAGCAATCACTTTGTGGCCAAGCACCCTCCATAAGACTGTGGAATTTCCACTGATGCTCAGGGTCACCAAGAGAGATGAGCAGGTTAACGTTTGTTTGTAGAATTGCGTTCCACGATTGTCATCATCACATAATCATTGCATCCTCATTGTTGTCATCATTACCAACACCATCATAACATCATGCCAGTAACTTCATTACCATGTCATAGGACCTCCTTTGCCAGTACCAAAATATGAGAATAGGTTTTCCCCTTTTTTTCTGGCAACAAAACAGGTGTTAAGATGTTAAAACACCAAACTGAAACCTTTTACAAGGAATCATGTCTGCATTAACCACAATACTTGTGGTCAGAAAGAATGCAAACAAAAAACACGCTCTGATAATATATGCATTGTCTTTGAAACTGATTGGTCCACAGCAGAGACAGCTTTCTTTTGAGCCTCGTCTCAAATGGTGTTAGACCAGAGGACGTCAAAAGGCCATGAATATCACGTCATTATCACCATGAGCAACCCCAATCATAATTACATCATCTTTTACATTGCCATCATCAATAATCACGATAGCCATCATCACATCAGCACCATGACACCTACACTGCCATCAACATCAACACATCATCTTTGTCACCATCATCATCAACAGCTCCACGGATGTTCTCGCACTGTGCCGAGGAGAAAATGCTTGCCCTGTGGGTTCGGCTGGTGTCCGACCCCTGACCCCTAACCCTGAACCACTTGGGGGGGGGAGGGAGGTTGGTGCAGGGTCGTCAGGCACGAAACAGCTGACACCTCCTGGCAACTCCGGGCCAACGGTTCCATTCATGAATGCCCTCTCCTGCTCCCCGACTTGCATTGCTTGTTGTGTACATCCTGCCAGGTCTGTTCCATCTCTTTGGAAGAACGTAATCAACCAGGCAGGGTGTTGACTGTTACGTTAGCCGACTCTCTCTGTTGTATTGCATTGTATTTATAAATTTCGATTTAAAGCTTTAGTGACTGCAGGGATTCATCTTCTTGGTTCTTTCGGTAAAGTCACGTAGAAGGGAAATAATAAAATAATAAAAATAAAACATAATAAAATAATTCTCACGACGTTTCGGCCACAACGCAAGCAGCCGTCCTCAGGTGAAGAACAGGTCTGTCATCCCGACAGACCTGTTCTTCACCTGAGGACGGCTGCTTGCGTTGTGGTCTGTTGTGGTCTGTCTTCCCGACAGACCTGTTCTTCACCTGAGGACGGCTGCTTGCGTTGTGGCCGAAACGTCGTGAGAATTATTTTATTATGTTTTATTTTATTATTTTATTATATTTATAAGTTTACTAGGTTTGTTTTCTCTTTCATTTGTACCCGATGATGATTGCTTGCGTTGCGATCGAAACGTCGTATGCTATTACTTAGTTAATTTTCGCTTTCTACGTGACTTAACCGAAAGAACCAAAGAGTAATTCCTGCAGTCACGAAAGCTCCAAATCAAGTTTGTTCAATCCCGTTCGTCCCTCTTGGAATAAAGCTCCGTCACAATAATATTATTGTTGTTGTCATTGTTGTCAATCGCGTACAGCGCTCTGTCATTCTGCTCACGGATGACGGTCTCTCCACACGTCCATCAGTGCGGCTTGGAGACGGCGGAGGAGCAGAAACAGCTCAGATGCCACATGGGGTCACTAATTTGATCCTCAAAACGCAGGATTAAACGGATCGATAAAGGTCTTCATTAACGATGTCCACGAATCGAGGAATCGTTCAAAGCCCACCAGTCAAAGTGCAACCGCCACACAAGATGAGTTTTAGTCGTTATCCGTCGTCATGGTTACACGTGGCCATTTCAATGCTGGATGAAGGCCTTCCCAGGCCGTCGCAAGCTCTCACACAGCCTTGAGACAATCCACACAGCACCTGCTCACGATAAAAAAAAAATCTATTTATTCATCTCGTTTGCCCAGGTAAATCCTGAGTCTCAAGAGCCGGGGGGGGGGAAGGGGCCCTTCCAAGTTTTATGCAGCAAGGGACGGAATTGTTGCTGTGTGTGTGCGATCCCAATTGGGAGGAAATCGGAGAACCCGGAGGAAACCTACTACGCCGGAACGGAGAGACGCCGGAGTCGGGAATGCAACCCAGGCACTTCTCGCCGTGACCAGCGCGCTGCCTGAGCATCTCAACGCAGAGTGCACCGACGCGGTAATGGAATGACCGTACAAACCATTACCCTAATTACCACGAACAAAGTAAGACGGTGGAGGGAGAGACGCATGCACGGACACAAAGGGGGGGTGGGTGGGGGGGAGGGCACACAATCAGTCACAGAGACCGCGGCGGCCGGAGGTATTAGCGAGCGCCTATTTAGGTCAGTACTGCACACGTGCTCACGAGCATCACGTCTGCCCCGCCTACTTTGTCTTCCCCGTGCTCACACAGGCACCGTGAAACGTGGGGAGGGTTTTAAACGGCGCGGGAAGCAGCCGCGTCTCAAAGACATCACCGCAGCCACGCAGGGGCAGTCGGCACATGCACGTCCCCCGCGGAAGCCCGGTGAAAACACCGGGAGCTGAGGGGCCGCCGTTTTCCAAAACCCGCAACTCTAACTGCCCTGAACCACGAACCCCAAAGCCGAGCACTAAAACCTAACCCCCTGCATCCCCAAACCAACAAAACCCCGACCAGGGCAGTGCTACGGGCCGGCTGCAGCTCGCCGCTCGTTACGGATGTTCTCAGTTCGAATCTGGCAGGCCGGCCCGGTTAATACTGCGGTGTGCGTCGACCGTGAATAAGTGGCGTCTGATAATTGT